GCGAAACAATTCCAGATGAGGCGTTTTGGGAATAAAAATGCCGAGCCGCTCTTCGACGAAGCATAATAGCGAGCTATTTTTTTTTTTTTTTTGACGAGACTGCTTGAAGGAAAATGCCGAGCCGTTCAAAAGATGAGGCTACTTTGACAAAGATAGCGCCGAGCTGTGCTTAGCGATGAGGTGTTTCAAGATAAAGATAATGTCGAACCGTTTTGTTAACAACGAGGCGTGGTGCAATCTGTGCTGTTTGGTGAGATATCCTTAGGAAAAGGATTGTACGCGAGGCGACTTGTGAAAGTTAAGCCGAGCCGAATAAACGACGAGGCGTTTTGCGAAAGTTATGCCGAGCCGAATGAACGACGAGGCGTTTTGTGAAAGTTGTGCCGAGCCGAATAAACGATGAGGCGTTTTGTGAAAGTTGTGCCGAGCCGAATAAACGACGAGACGTTTTGTGAAAGTTGTGTCGAGCCGAATAAACGACGAGGCGTTTTGTGAAAGTTGTGCCGAGCCGAATAAACGACGAGGCGTTTTGTGAAAGTTGTGTCGAGCCAAATAAACGACAAGACGTTTTGTGAAAGTTGTGCCGAGCCGAATAAACGACGAGGCGTTTTGTGAAAGTTGTGCCGAGCCGAATAAACGATGAGGTGTTTTCTGAAAGTTATGCCGAGCCGTATCGACAAAGCATGGTTCGGTTCACACAGCTTGATGAGATATTTTCAGATACCGTAGCTGTGTAATGGGCTCGGTTTATCTGGACAGAGCGGCTGTTAGTTCTTTCCAAGGCATCTTGAGTGACGGACGCGCCAAGAGGTTACGCATTCGCCGCGGACTTCACGCACCCCCATCGAACACCTTCGCGCCATCCCGAGGTCCACGCGGACTTCACGCGCTTCGGTTTTCCTATAAATAGGTCAGCTCATTCGTTCCTCCTCATAATCTTCAGATCCATTCGTTTTCACTAAAAGGTAGCTCTCCCTTCTCTCTTCTTTCTCTCTCTAGTTTTATTTATTTTCCGGCTAGGGTTCCGAGGTCTCCGCTGCTCCAGATCTTTTTCCGACGAAAGTTCGCCGCGTAATATTGTAATTCCCGTATAAGCTGTAAATCATGTCGAACCGTTCTGACGATTCGTTGGATTCGCTTTTTAACTACGAGCCAAGCCGTGTAGATGCCGAGGTGGGAGGTGTAACAGGATCTTCCGAGGCGTCTATCTCGCCGAGCCCTTCCAACCGTGCATCCGAAAGCAACGAGGCGTCGAACCGTTCATATCCGTCAGGCGCTCGCTCTCCAGATGACGAGCTGTCGGTTTCGACGAGCCGCCCTCAGGGTCCCGCTCTCAACGAAGATGTTAATCATGCCGCAGTGAAAGCCGAAGAGGAAGCGTTTCCCTTTGATCTGTTCGAGGCGAAGCGTGAATTAGAACGTCTCATGGAGTCCCGAGGTGCTTCTTCATTGGGGCGAGGGAAACGAGTGAAAAGACAAAAACCTGACCCGCCCGGCTCTACGCTCTCCTCCCCTGACTCACTCGAGGCGTTGAGATGATGTTTTTCCAGACGAAGTGTTCGACTTGAGCATCCTTTATGCTTGCGTAAGAATCGGCCTCGACCCACTTAGAAAAATAATCCGTGAGGACGAGCAGAAAGCGCTTCTGCTTCGATCGATGTAGAGGTCCGACTATATCCATCGACAATCTCATGAAAGGATAAGGTGATGAGATCGATGACAGCAGCTCGGTAGGCTGGTGAATTGTTGGCGCGTGCCGTTGACACTTCTCGCACTTTGCCGTGAACTTCTCGCAGTCCTTGACCATCGTAGGCCAGAAGTAGCCGTACTGATTTATCTTGATCGCGAGCGACCTTCCGCTAGAATGGTTTCCGCATGCGTCGCTGTGCACTTCGTGCATGATCTTTCTTGCCTCCGGTCCTTCGACGCACGTCATGAGTGGTCCTGAAAATCTTCATTTAAACACCTCGCCGTCGACTAGGACATATCGCGCGGCCTGAGCCTCTAATTTGCGGGCTTCCCACTTGTTGGTTGGTACTTCTCCATCGACGATATACACTCGGATGGCTCCGAGCCATTCTTTATCGCAGCCGTACTCCAGCTTGGCTGGTGAGGCGTCTTCATCCATAGCGACTGCTTCGTCGTTTTCTGGTTTCTGCTCGGGAGGATTTATCAGCCAAACTCCTTCTACCTCTTCGATGCTAGGACGTTCGATGAATTCGACTGGAATTGTCCGTCGGAGATCTGGGTCTGAAGTCGAAGCAAGTGCTGCCAAGGCGTCAGCCGAGGTGTTTTCGCCTCGGGGTATTCGTGTGAGTTCGAACTCGTCGAACTTTTGCACCAACTCTCTGACCACCTTGAGGTAAGCTCCCATTCGTCCGTCTTTCGCCTCGTATTCGCCGTTGAATTGACACGCTACGAGCTGTTAATCGCAAAAGGTTCTTATCTTTCGAACTCCGATTCCTTGTGCTAGTCGTATGCCGGCGATCAGCGCTTTGTATTCTGCTTCGTTGTTCGAGGCATGGAAGTTCAGGCGAAAAGACTGCTCCAATATTTTTCCGGTGGGAGAGGTGAGACGGATTCCTATTCCCGAGCCGTGTTTAGACGACGAGCCGTCGACGTGCAGCGTCCATACTTCGTCTGGGGTTGGCTCGTTCATTGCTTCGGCTGGAAGTTCGATGAGAAAATCTGCGAGCACCTGTGATTTTGCGGATGACCTGTTCCGATACTCGATGTCGTACTCGCTCAACTCTATGGCCCACTTGGCGAGCCGACCGGATTGGCTCGGGCTGTGTAGGATCGAGCGCAGCGGAAGTGTAGCGAGCACAACAATCGAATGTGATTGAAAATACGGACGTAGCTTGCGAGCTGAGACTACGACGGCTAGGGCGACTTTCTCGATCTGGGGGTAGCGGGTCTCGGCGTCGGTCAGTGTCTGGCTGACGTAAAAAATGGGTTTTTGCTCGGACCGTTCTTTTTTGATAAGCACCCCACTCACAGCTGTAGCAAATACGGCGATGTAGAAGAAGAGAGGCTCTCCTTCAACTGGTTTCGCCAAGATCGGCGGGCTTGCCAGATAACTCTTCAATTCATGGAAAGCTGCTTCGCATCGCTCGTCCCACTCGAATTTCTTATTTCCGCGAACGGTGTCGTAGAAAGGCAGGCACTTGTCGGTGGAATGGGAAATAAACCTGTTTAGCACAGCGACCCTTCCTGTAAGCCTTTGCACTTCTCGCTTCGTCCTTGGAGAGGGCATCTCGATTAATGCCTTGATCTATTTGGGATTCGCATCAATGCCTCGGTGAGTTACCAGATAGCCGAGAAACTCCCCCGAGGTGACCGCAAATCTGCACTTCGCCGGGTTCAATTTCATGTTGTATTTGTTCAACTGCTCGAAGCATTCTCGTAGGTGCGCGATATGATCTTTCTCTTCGAGTGATTTGACTAACATATCGTCGATGTATACCTCCATGGTTTTTCCGAGCTGATCCGCGAACATTTTATTGACGAGCCGTTGATATGTTGTCCCTGCGTTCTTAAGTCCGAACGGCATGACTTTGTAGCAGTATATCCCCCGATCAATTATAAATGCTGTCTTTTTCCGATCATCAGGATGCATTAGGATTTGGTTGCGCGTCCATAAATATTAACAGCCTATTTCCCGCAGTGGTTTCGACGAGCCGGTCGATGTGCGGCAGAGTGAAACTGTCTTTTGGGCATGCCTTGTTGAGGTCAGTGAAATCTACACAGACCCGCCACTTGCCGTTCTTCTTCTTCACAACCACTGGATTCGCAATCCAGTCTGGATATTTGGCCTCGGTGATTGATCCCACTTTGAGCAATCTCTCCACTTTGTCGTTAACTGCTTTAGCTCGTTCAGGTCCGAGCTTCCTTCTTTTTTGCTTCATTGGTTTGAAGGTTGGGTCCACGTTCAGCTTGTAACAGGTCACGTTGATGCTTATGCCCGGCATATCTTCCGCTGTCCAAGTAGAAGTGTTGATGTTCTCTTTGAGGTGGGAAAGAAGTTTGCTTCTCAGAGGTTCTTCTAGTTTTGCTCCGATTTCAACGCATCGTTCCGGACGCGCTTCGTCTATACACACCGAGTCCACCGCATCACACACCGGCTCGGCGCGCGTTTTGCGGCTCTCCACGATCTGTAATTGCTATAAGAGTTTCGAGAGTTCGTTCGCAGGCTCTCGGTCCGTCTTCATCTTTTTGCGATCTATGTCTGCTCGTGCGTCGGTGACGGGGTTCCTCAGCTTGTGCTCCGCTAAGCAGCACATTCGCGACTCCTTCTGATTCCCCCAGATCGTTTTGATACCTGCTGGAGTCGGGAATTTGAAGCAGAGGTGATAAGTGGAAGGGACCGCCCTCATCGCGTTGATACATGGAGTTCCCATGATCACATTGTAGATTGCTGGGTGATTGGTGACACAGAATTCGACGATCCTAGTGACTCCGCCAGCTACCACAGGGAGACTAATTGTTCCCATAGTCATCGTTGTTTCTCCTGAAAATCCGGTTAGAGGTTTGGGGATCCCTATCACCTTGGACAGATCGATTCTCATCCTTCTGAGTGTCTCCCTGAAAATGACGTTCACCAACCTCCCAGTATCGATGAGCACCCTTGCTACATCGTGATCTCTGATCGTTAATTCGATCACCAATGGTTCGTTGTGTGGTCTATCGATTCCTGTCGTTTCCTCCTCGGCGAAGGAGATCACTGTATTCGGGAGGTCGGTCGGTTCTGTCCAATTTTCCTTCGCTTCGGCTCGACGCTGATAAGCTTTGATGGAGGAGACCGTGTCTTGGTAATATTGAGATCCACCCATGATCATGTTGATCCTTTGCCTCGGCTCGGGTCGCTCTTCGGGTTTGCCTCTCCTGTCCCGCTTGGAGTTATCGCCTCGTCGGAGAGGATTTGCGGGTTCTACCGCGCCGCTCAGCTCGGCTCCTTCTTTTGGTTCATTAGGGACGAGGTCTTTGAGGTTAACCGCGTTCTAGAGCTCTCCCGCCGCCATCTTAGCTGCGAGTTTGGCTCCTAGGGTTCGGCATTGTGCCGTTGAGTGCCTGTAGGTCTGGTGATACTCGCAGAATGCCTTTTCGTCGTAGTTGGTGGGCTTTCTTACCCAAGTGTTGTTGCGAGGCTCTCCTCTTCCGCGTCCAGCGCCTACTTGGTAGTTGTGTGCACCTCCGCTTCTAGGTTCGTCCGAGCTCTGTGTTGTTGCGTTGTTTGATGGATTGCCTTTCTTCGAGGGGCGCGTCAAAATTGAGCTTCGGATCGCTGCTTTCGTTGCTTCGTACTGCTCGTCCAGATTCTTTATCTCCTCCTCATTTACGACGAAGTCTGATGACCGATGCAAGGCATCTTGAATCGTTTGTGGTGTGTTGAGTGCTATTTCCCGTCGGGATTCGGATTGTACCACAAAGACCGTTTCAGAGCTTCGAGTGCAGCCTTGTCGCTTATTCCTTCTATTTTGGATACGACTGCTTTGAACCTTGCCATGTAATCCCAAAGCGGTTTGTTCGGTCCTTGGGATAGCGTCCACAGGTCGGCATCAGAAGTTCCTCTATCCATAAACATCGAGTATTGTTTAAGGAACAAGGCGGAGAGCTGTTGGAAACTGCCGATTGAATTGCGCTCTTGCCTCGAAAACCACTCGAGCGCGGCTCCCTTGAGATGTTCCAAGAAGAGCAAGCAATATCCGGCATCTACTTCCCGCTCGGTCAGTTTGGCAGCGTTCTTTGTGAAAACTCGTCCCATTGCTATCCGAAATGCTGTGATGTGTGCTTTCAGATCGGTCGTTCCTTCGCAGAACGGGATTCTCACCTTCCCGGGCTCGGGAATCCTAGCTTCTGTGATTCTTGCCGTGAATGGTGTTCTCTGGGTTTCTTCAAGCATCCGATCGATCTCGAGCGCAGCACTCGTCGCGTTATGCACTTGAGACTTCATGGCGCGTATCTCGGCTACTGTCCGAGCCATCGAGGCTCGCAGTTCTTTGATTTCGAGGGTTTGTGTGTGAGTCATTCCCTTTGATTGGGGAGGTCGCTCCCGCTCTTCTCTCCTCGGCTCGTCTTCGCGCTCCGCCTGCTCGATCCATTGGAGGTTTTCTTCTTCTTCAATCGGGTTGTCGCCACGAGCCTGATCGGTGATTTCATCAGTCCGGATGCCGTTTAGAGCCGAGCCGAGCCGAGCTGTTTTGTTGCAAGTTCGTGGTTCCATCGTTCTGTTGGGCGTCCACGTCGATCGCGTCATTCTCCTCTTTGCTGGCTCGTCGCCTTGAGTTCCGACGGAGTGGAGGCGGCTCGGTCATGTTGACTCGGGTTGCCGCGGGAGTCTGTTCGCCGAAGGGATGAAACATTGGTGGAGCCAAGGGGTTTCTTGTGCCGCTCCCCGAGGCCTCTGCAGGTGTTGAGAAATCGAAGCGTCTCCGGTTTCCATCCATCGGGTCGGAGATTTCGGCTCTCCAAGTTGGGTGTCGTTGCTCGGCCGCCATCGCGTCGAGCCTCTCTGTAATCGCCTCGTTTCTTTTGTCCTGCTCGTCGATCTTCTTCATCAACGGTGCCATCATGTTTCGCATCTCCTCTTGGGTTTCGGTCGTCGCCGTCGTTGTGCCTGATGCTGGAGCGTCCTTCTCCGCGCCGTTATCGTTGTTGTTTTTGTTGTTATCGTCGAGGGTGTTGCTCGCTATGTTCTTCGGATCTTAAAGTCTCGTCGATTTAGAGTAAGAAATTTTCGATTCCCTACAGACGGCGCCAAATTGTGTAAGCCAAACCTCACACAACCAAAAATTTGTTAAGGAAAAAATTAAGGGATCCAAAATTTCTAGGGTTTATCGCAAGAACAGTAAGATCAAAAGAAGGTTTTTTGCTGGAAAAGTGTTTTAGTCTTATTGCTCTCGAGTTGTGCAAAAGTCCCCTTATGAATTGCATACATTGTCTATTTATACTAACTTTCTAAATCGCCTAGCCGAAAACCTCGGGAGAGATTTTCGGGAATATTTCCTTATCGCTTCGTGCGGCACCGTCACAATGCCTCGCCTAATGTTTTTATGGGCTTTCGCCTTTCGAGACTTCGGCTCGGCCCGTCTGGAAGAACCGGCTCGGCCTAACACAATGGAAAACGGCTCGGCCCAACACAATGGAAAGCGGCTCGGCCCATGCTTCCTCTCGCGCAGCTCAGCCCACTCTTCTTTCTTCTCGCGGCTCGACCCATCTATCCTTCTCCACGGCTCGGTCCACTCGCCTTAGTGAGCACAGCACGGCCCACTTGTTTTGTGGGACAGCTCGGCCCATATTTGGTGGGCAGCTCGGCCAAATCGGTTTTCTCTAATACTTAGTCATTTTTGAGATGGTTTTATCCGCTTGGGGTGAAACCGACCCCAACAGCTACTCTCATGCAGTAAAAACGAATTCAGAAGAAACAATTCTAAGATTCGGCTCAATAGCTCATGGAATCCTCATCGAACATAAGTATCCCCATCGAAAATCCCTTAGACCCAACAATAAAACTACTCAGACATGATAAACGAAATCAAAAACATAGTATTAAAAAGTAGTTCAGAAACCGAAATTGAATAAGAAAGAACAAGGGTTCAAGAGATAGATCTCTCTCCCCCTAAAACCTAAAAACAAAGCTTAAAGTAAAATTTCTGTAAAGTATTTCGTCTCTCCTCTTCTCTTCTCTTAAAAACGACCTAAATGATATGTATTTATAGTCTCCAATACTCTCTAGTGTCTAGGGTTCCGGAATTAAGGCTGGGAAAATGATACGGGCTTCAGAAATGGGCCTCGAAACTCGGAGTTAGCTGGCCGCGGTAGGGAAGTGCATGACTGCGGGGAATGGGTGGTTGGCCGCAGTCGGGATGGCTGTGACCGCGGGGAATGGCCTGTTGGCCGCAGGTGGAAACGCTTGCCGGCTGATTTACGGAACATCTTGCTCTTCGCGTATCTTTTGATTGAACCGTTGGATTGCCAAGCTGTAAAGTGTGCTGGAAAGCTGATACTTCCATCTTTGAGATCTACAAATTTGAGCTGGATCAGACGGTGAGAAGGCCTTCAATCGGGGGTGAACTTCTGACGGTTTGACTCTGAGCTGAAATCTTGTGTTCTATCCATTTTGTAAAGCTTTTCCCTAAGTTTCCTGAAAAGAGTCTTGGAACTACAAATACTAGAAAAACGTAATAAAAGTACTTAAAAGCAATTAAAAACATAAAATATATTTCAAAACGATCCATAAAAGTGGTCAAAATACGGTGTCCTCAAACAAAGCAAAAGTCTAAATTGGTTAAGTGAAAACAAAAATAGGGAATGCACAAATCTCAGAGACATGAACTCCTAAACTAGGACCAAATCTCGTGCATCAATCCACAACTTAGTCTAGAAAATTTTCACCAATACACAAAAGATACTAGTCCACTTTTTCCGTCATGCAAAACTTAAACAATCTAAATCTTGATTCCAGTCAACTAGCTCTCTACATTCATTAAGTTCAATAGTGAGTTCTCATTAAATATATCATCCAGGGTAGACGGCGTTTGGCATTAAAAGGCTGATTAAGTGGTGGAGTTAAAGTTTTTCGGGTTACCTGATGAATCAGGAGGATGCAAGATAATATGCAAAACCGCAAGAGAGATAAGGACCTGTTGAAGACCGCAATTTTCAGTCACTTCTTCTTGCCAAATGTTGTTACATAATCTTTCCTCCTTTGTTGTAAACAGCTATTCCCTCAGACTTAGATTCTTCCGGGAATCATAAAATGGTCTCCAAAACTCCATAAAATAGAACTCCAGTTGCCTTGGGACTTAAAATTCGACCTCTCTAGACTCTCTAAGGCTTTTATTTCCTTTCCTTTCTTATTTTCGGATATATATATATATATATATATATATATATATATATATATTTTTAAAAAGGAAATGCCTTTTAAAGAGAGGGAGACTAGAGGACGAGATTGTACCAAAAATTGAGATTTTTCTAAGGCAGACTGAGCTTCCTCTCGTGTTGAATCCTTCCGGAAACTTTTCCGGCAAATCGCAGGTCTCTGTCTTTGGTGACTGAAAACTGCGTCGTTCCTCTTTCTCTCCAACGTTTTTGCACTTATCTGCATATAAGACAATAGTAAACAAGAGTGCATGTGGTTTGAAAGAGGATTGGTTATGGTTAGGAACTAGCTAAAGATGAACTAGTCATTCAAGATCAACAAAGAGTGGTAAAAAGGATAAAGGAGTCCTGAATGTATGATTCGTTTCCCTGGTCTAATGCTCCAATGAGAAAATTAAGTCCAAGTTAAGTCCAAATAAAACAGAGCTAGTGTATTCTTTCATCTAAATCAAAATCATTCAAATTCCTCTGGGGTACTTCGTTTCAAATGTGCTTAGCTACCGCCTAGTCTAGTCTTAAATCATGAATGAGCATGTCACTAGGAACAGTCTGAAACCACACAGTCAACTATCATTGATTCATGTTCACCATTCCCTTTAAAACGTATTTTGCTTTGAAAACCGATTTTGAAAAACTTTAAGGAAAATGCAAAAAGTGTAGATAATGCAAGACTCATGAAAGAAAAGTGGTTAGAAAGGGATGAAATCCTCCCCCAGACTTAAATCACACTGTCCTCAGTGTGAAACAAGTCGAGATTGGATGAGAAAAATGCACAGATAATCGAATTGGTAAGGCCAAAGAGAACTTACCTGGATCAGGGATGCTGGTGGTGATGGACCGGATTCATTCTTAGAGGTTTGGGAAGGTGATAGGTGGTGATGAAGGTGGTGGGAAGTGATGAATGAGGTGGAGTGGGGATTGGTGAGGTGGAATGAGGTGAAGTGGGTGGTTTTGGATCGGGTTTCGTCTCAACGACCCTTTGCCGCGGTCAGGAGCCACGCGACCGCGGTGAAGTGGTGCTCGGCCGCGGTCAAAAAGACGCAGCCGCGGTCGAACATGTGTTTCCCGCGGTCAAAACACCTGCGACCGCGGGGGCTTATATCACGACCTGTTTCCTGCTTCTCCTTGGTTCCTGCTGGGCCGAGCAGTCAGGGACCATCCTTCTTTTTGGTTTTTTCTGTTTTTTTATTTTTTTGGTTTTTTTGTTTTATAAGAAACGCCTGAAACTAAGAAAAAGAAAAAGATCAATGGAAAAAGAAAGAAAAATCCTAAAGAAAACAATACCTAAATGGGTTGCCTCCCATTAAGCGTTTCTGTTTTAAGTCGTTTAGCTCGACTTTTGGTGTTGGATGTGGCTTAGTCCAATGAAGAAGATCTTGTCTTGACACAAGTTTTTTTCAACATCTCCTTGCCTTGCCTAGCAGGTTATTCGTCACTCTTAAGTTCTTCTTCAAACTCTTCTGTTGCAGAACGTTTTCCTGCTTTGCTGTTGTATGGGACAGCTTCTGTGAAGACATCTTTGTCGATATTAGCAAACGAAATCCTCCAGTTTGGCCAGTCCATTATAGCTCCGGAAGTTGCTAGAAAAGACCATCCGAGAATCACTGGATGTGTTGCGTCTCTCGTTTCGACAATGTAGAAGTCAACAGGCACGATGCAATCTCCTATTCTCAAAGGAATATCATGAGCTATTCCTTGAGGTGTTGCATTGGAATCATCAGCTAGACTAATCCTTGCTCTAGTCCTGTGCAGGTGTTTAATACCAAGTCTCAAAGCAATTGCCTTGGACATCATGTTAAGACAAGCTCCAAAATCACAAAGCACGTTTTTAAGTATTTCTCCTCTAATAGAATAAGAGATGAGAAACTGACCTGCACCTTCGATTTTGTGAAGTGTTCAAACAGGTTTACCTCTTCTGGCATGATTGAACAAGTCTTCTATCTCAGGGATTGATTCCTTGCTCTCACAGAAGTAGCGGCCTATCATGAAGTCCTTGCAAGCTCTGGCAAAGGTGATTCCTTCAGGCAAATTTCGGACTACATTATTGAATTCGTCGAGCTTTTCCTTGCTGATTTTGTTGGTGTAGTGGCTGCAGTCTTC